TTAGGATTTCCGTATAGGTGAGGTCTAAAAAATTAGCAAAACGAAAATGGCACACATCAGAAAAACTAGAGTACTAAATTCGGGCCTATTTAGTGCTAATTTAGTACGGAAACAAATATGTAATTTATAACTCAATTTTTAAAAAAATTACGTGCATGTGTGCCAGCTTAAGATTAAGCTGGCACATTCTAGTTGAATAAGGTCGAATCTTTGAAAATCTAGAACCTCATATTTAGTGCTAATTTGGTACATTCATGGCACGCCTAAAAAACTAACAATGATGTATTTATTACGAAATAACCACGGGAAAGTGCTAACTTGAGACTTGAATTAGCACACATACATCGAATCGACCGCGCGAGAACGGAATTCGCATGCACATATTAAGTGCTAGTTAAGTACTTCAAAAACGACGACCTGAAATGAACTAGTATCACATCAGCACAGAGCTAACCCAAAATAACCCGAACTAACTGAAACTAACCCGAACTAATCCAAACTAATGTCTAAAATTAGCACTAAATGTGTGCTAATTTAGTACTCTAGTTTCATCGCGTCATTGGTGATAATGTTTGTTAACTTAAACACTAAGCCAGCACACAAGTGCTAACTCTGTGCTGATGTGATACTAATTCGTTTCGGGTCGTCGTTTCTGAAGTACTAAATTAGCACTAAATATGCGCATGCGAATTCCGTTCTCGCGCGGTCGATTCGATGTATGTGTGCTAATTCAAGTCTTGAGTTAGCACTTTTCCGTGGTTATTTCGTAATAAATACATCATTGTTAGTTTTTTAGGCGTGCCATGAATGTACCAAATTAGCACTAAATATGAGGTTCTAAATTTTCAAAGATTCGACCTTATCCAACTAGAGTGTGCCAGCTTAATCTTGAGATGGCACACATGCACGTAATTTTTAAAAAAATACAGTAATAAACTTTTTTTTTTGTACTAAATTAACACTAAATAGGCCCGAATTTAGAACTCTAGTTTTTCTGATCTGTGCTATTTTCGTTGTGCTAATTTAAGGAACCAGTATAGGTGATTAGTAAAGTAATATCAATATCTCTAGAGGTATTAGCCAGTTTTTTGATAAGTGCCCTTTGGGAGCAGATACACTACTAAACAACAAAATCTTGTGAGCACAATGTTTAAAGGGCTGTAGATTGAAAACGGTTGTATCGATTTCGAACAGCTTTGCAGGTTTCGAAAGCTAATTTTTTAGAGGTTCCATGACTCGCCTGCTTTTTCTGCAGATGACCCTGTTAACATTATACAGGGGTCGAAAAAATCAGAAACGTCAAATTAGGCAAATTATGAGAATTCTTTTTTTAAACCTATTAAAATTGGTCTGTATGCCTTCTGATTTCTTTGAAAATTGGTTAGGTGATACTTTGGGCCAATATCTCAGGACGATTTTTTTTTTTTTTGCATTTGAGCCTCCCGAAGATCCATTTTAGCTCCACTAAGTTGAAACGATGTGGCTCACGGTTTAACGAATTGTGAAATGTTTTCCCCATTGTAGAAGTGTCATGGAACCTCTAAAAAAAATTGGCTTTTGGAACCTGCAATGCTGTTCGAACTCGATACAACCGTTTTCAAGCTACAAACATTGTGCATGCTTCCAAGATTGTACCAACTTTGTTGTTTAGTAGTGTATCTTATTTTTATTTTCAAATACACCCGTCAAACACTTATAGGTAATAACTGGCTGCTAAAACTAAAATGGTGACAAAAAATAGATGAAACAAAACCTCGAACATGACAGATAAATAAATAATACAAAAATAAACAAATAGGCTAGATGGCACACATAAATCACAGCAATTGGGCTCAAACATAATGGTGTGTAACATCCTCTAGTCATTTTTTTGGTTGAGGCAACAGTTGTTTTGAAAATATCTATGTTACACTTCTCGAAGATATCGCTACACTCTATCAGGATATGGCTCAGTGGTGAGCAACTTGACCGGTTTATCACAAAAATGTTGTAGTTCCTTAGTCTAGGATTAATTTTAGGAACATGAAATTTGAATGGATTAATAAATTCACAGTCTGTATATTTAGTATTATTGACTATATGGAAAATAAGATACTGAAGCTTGAAGGTCTCCAACATACTGTCAACTACCTAAGAAAATGCCACTCTGTACATCAATTTTACTAAAGTGTGTCGACGAGTCAGCATTAATTTGGTATAAATAACGCGCCGAAATCCATTACCGGCAGACTAAGGCTGGTGCAAAGTACCTCAATTGAGAAAAGTCTCCTCCCAGTGCAAACTACCTTTAATGGGAAACGCCCTTCTGGAAGTATTGAACACAGCAGACTAGGTCCAGTGCAAACTACCTTTATTGGGAAATGCCCTTTTGGACCTGTCTCAAACGCAGCTTCAGTCTACAGTCACGCCAAGTGTGCAGAGTGTACATAATACAGAGTGGCCTATAAGTAGTACTTCCCTCTGTAGAAGAGACGTCATGATACTATTTCTAGGGTAATATTATTATTATTAAATACATATCTTATTGTGCCCATACCAAGCGAGTTTCTCTCTGCCTGAACCCCACCCGCACCCTCAGGTCACGCTCCCGTTGTGGCGTCCCAGGACGGAACGTATAGGGGTTGTGACATATTTGGTAGAGGTGCCGTTTCGACACCCAGGCACCAGGACCAAGAAACAGCGGTACAGAAGAAAAAACGCAGAATCTTCACGTCACCATATTAGAAAAAAAAACCCAGGACACAAAAGAAAAAATATATATAATAATAAACAAATTTTAGTGACCCATATAATTAGAAGCAGACACGGTTACGCTGATGACGAATTGTTTATAAAACTAGTCTACTAAGCACTACAACCAATAAAAATGACAGACGGCGGCGCTAAGCAGAATTAGAAGATTGCCGATATAGTGGCGGAGGCATTTCTAATTATTATACCATTTTTTGTTGGTTTTTCCCCTTTCGACGGACGTACTACAAATCAGGGAAAAGGCACTCTCAATACGATCTATAGCAGTGGAAAATAAACAGAAAAGACAAGGGAAAGAAAAGGGGCGTTTTGATGAAAGACATAGAGAATTGGACTTTGAAGCTGGAGACAAAGTTAAGCTGTTTATCCCAATGAGAAAGGTTGGAAGAAGTGAAAAGTTACTTTTAAGATGGTTTGGACCATATAACGTACTTAGAAAACTTGGAGAAGTAAATTATGGAGTAGAAAAAATTGGTAGTGGAGAGAAGAATAAAGATACGGTCCACTTCAGTAGGATGCTACCCTACAATGACCCGTGGACAGAAAGTGCACATATCAAAGAGTATAGTGAAGATGAAGAAGACGAAGATGAAGATGAAGAAGATGAAAAAGAAGAAGTAAGAGAAGAGGAAGAATGAGCAGTAGAAGAAAGTGGCCACATGTACATTATAAAATAGAGTTTAAGAGGGAGAGAAACAAAGCTTAGTATTAAATACATTCTGACAAGATTCATCAAACTGTCTTCCTTCCGGATTTTGGTGATACTGACTCATAGCGCCACAGGCCAGGAGGTAGAAGTATCCGCCGGCGCAACCTGGAAACTTCTACCAGATACAATTTCATACAAAGGGTCAATCCCATTAACATACAGAGTACTCTGGCTTGAAGAGCCTTTGGAACCAACAATACTGGGAGGCAGGAAGTGTCAAGAATCATAGAATGTAGAATGTAAAATTTTAACATACATGGAACGAATAGCATCGGCTGTAAACAAGGAATTAAGTGGTCTAACTGAGCACTGGAATTTAACTAATCTTAAACCAAGGACAAAGTGCAAAAGGGTAATATTATTTCATTTTTAGTAATTTAATTTTTAACACACATCATTTTTGTTTCATACGCACAAAATCGCATTAACCGACCAGAGGACAAACGAGGCCAAGAAACCAATGACGCCACTACAACTTGGATCAGGGATTGCTTCGGATTGAGCAGGGGCATCTCTGATCCAAAGATCTACGAGTACCATTGGAAGCAAGGAACCAGACATGAAAAATTTGGCCAACCAAAAACCGGACCCCACACACGCACACAAAGAAAGCAGGTTAATCGGCGCCTATTTCCGGCGCCGAAAATCAGCGCCTACAAGTCATTTCACTAGTACACAATGAACGTCGGTTTTCGGCCCGTTTAGACGCAACTTCCATACTACAAAGATATCTAGTTCATCTTCAGATGAAGACTTTTTATTGAAAGAAGATACATTCCTAAGGATGATGCAAAGCACGAAGCAAGGTATACATCCAGTTAATCATCATTTATTCCTTCTGACTATATTCCAGTTGCTGTGTGACTCAAGTCGTTTGTCCCACAATGCATTTCTTTGAAAAATCGCCGAAATCAGCAATTCGACATCCATTATCGATGCACGTCCAGCTCCGATCAGCGACCAAGAACTACAAATTCATTTCGGTAAAAATTCGGCGCCGATCTGCACTAGCAACAAGCGCCGATCTGCTTTATCTGTGTGCGGGTGCATTTAAATGTGGATTCAATTATTAATGCTTATAAGCGCTTGTTACCAGCAAGCAGGCAACCTGCTTTCTTTGTGTGCGTTCCCTAAACAGAGAAGACGCATCGGGTTAGACGCTTTTATCATTTGCGCGATTAATTTAGAACACGTTTAGAGCATAAAAAAATGTTATCAGTATTTATATTGCAAAATGCATTTTACCTCATTGGACCTTTATCTTATATTTCTATGCATTTATGTTACTTATGGTACTTGTAGTTTTTGAAATATGGTGCTAAAAATGGCTTGTCCTGTTTTTGTTTTTTTTTTTTGGCAAGGATTTTACTATTAGAATTAAGAAAAACATCAAATTTGAAAAAATGCATCAATAATTGTAGATGCCTTATATTTAAGAGAAATGGAGTTCGTTGAACTCATGAAATGAAGAAATTAGAAAGAAACTAATTAATAGGAATAATTTCAATTGTTATTAAAATAATAAAGCACTATCTCTCACCTTTTCATGTATTTCACTTGTACTTTGGGCATCACAAAACGCGACAGTGGCCACATCTTTCAATATAGGCATTTCGATGGAACAATCCCGCCCGTCCAACAACGCAACAAGTGGACGCGTTTGCAGTGGCCCATTGGCAATAGGTCCGCGCGGTTCAAACCTGGGCCTTTTTGGCAACATTTTGCGTTTGTCCATTTACAATTTAAGAACCACTGTGGTAAACTAGATCAGGCCGCGGCCTTCCTGATCAACACATAAAATAAGACTACTAATAAAACTGATACGCCTCGAACTATCAGAACGACTTGACTGGACGCAACGCTCGGCGTACCCGCCCCGCACTACCTGTGCACGCTCCGTCCTGCGGGTACGGCGTGCGGCCGTAGGAGACAATGTCTCTCAGGTCACGATGTGGGGCTGATAGTGGGCTTCATGGTACAGCATGGAGGGATCGTGCCTACAACAACAAAAAAATACTATTTAATGAATATATTACTGAGGTTATAGTTATTTCAATAAACTAGGTACATATTATGTAAATATAAAGGTACATGCCACAAACATGGTGGTCAATGATACAAAAAAGGGGCTACTACTAAAATAATACTACCTAAAATTACTTCAAAAATAAAAAGAGAAACAAGAATGCTATATTATAATAAACTGATCCAATAATCAGCTAATGAAGTGTTACTTATACATCCTTTGATAGTTATTTGTCTCATTATTTTTATTTTATAACAAGAAATGAACGAGGAAATAAAATAGGTATTTATCGAGGTATTTATTTAGCACTTGGCTAGTAGATAGCATATAAATACTTAATATACAAGTGAATAATAAATACACAAAAATAACAAAACCATGACAAAATATAAAAAAAAACTATCAACGAATCTGTCTCAAATATCTGCTCAACACCTTAGCAAACATGTGCACATTAGATGCATAATTAATAATAGGGCACAAAAATATCACATCTGATTTAATACTGGATTTAATACACAAGGGAACAAAAATACAGAGTACCTATGCTACACTTCAATTTTTAGTTCAAATCTCTATGTGAAATTGAAAACTCTTTTTTTTTATACCTAAACCCTATCTTTGTCAAATTCATTCATTCATTCCAAAATGTCGAGCAAAATATCCTCATTAGCACATAGCAAGTAGGTCAATGTGGGTTATTCGAAACGCTTTTATCATTTGCGCGATTAATTTAGAACACGTTTAGAGCATAAAAAAATGTTATCAGTATTTATATTGCAAAATGCATTTTACCTCATTGGACCTTTATCTTATATTTCTATGCATTTATGTTACTTATGGTACTTGTAGTTTTTGAAATATGGGATGTTTTCAATTACCCCAGGATTTTTTAAAAATAACTGGCTCTTAGGGGTAATTTAAAACATTGAATCATTTACCTACCTAAAATAAATGAACATGCCGAGGATCAAGCGTTCCGGGCAAATGAAAATAATAATAATAATAATAATAATTTATTCCAGGATCAAGTTTAGAAGTTTAAAATTTCTTCAACAACTGTGCTGCAAATGGAAGCTACATTTACAATCAAATTTTCACAATAAACTTTTCACAAATTCCAGATATTTTTTTTGCTTTCTCCTAGGAGTTTATTAGTTGCACAATGGATTTTTGAAAAATCTGTGTGTGCATACCATACCAAAAATTGCACAATTAATGAATTAGTCAAGTTTATGGAAAATTTATACAATAAAACAAATATTAGGAAACTATATTTGTTCCGCTATCAAAAGCTAGTGAGTTAATTTTTCTTTCTTTAAAACAAATGGAAATAGATGCTAACACTTATAATCCAGTCTTTAATTTGGTGTTTAATTTTGGAATATGGTTTATTTTCAAATTCTTGTTGTAAGGAATTATAAATCTTCGAGCCAGAAAAGTTAATATGCTTTTAGATGGCCAAATGTTTAACTGAAGGGATGAGTACATTACTTCTTGCAAGATTTCGGGTGTTTAGCTGATGCTGCAGGTTGAACTTATAATAAGGTGATGCTATCATAAATCTCACTACACTTTTAATATATGTATAGCTGTTCCAGTGTCAAAAGTTTACTCTCATTAAACAGTAAATCTGTCGAGTATTGTTTATTTTTAAACAACATTATTTTAATAATAAATTTTTGGATAATGAACAGTGGCTCCTGTGTTGTTTTACTATAACGTATTCGACTCGTTTTTTCCAGTTCATATTTTCATCAATGAAAACCCCCAAATACCTCAAAAATGGTTTACGTTCAATCCTACATTTACAATTACATTGTCCCAATTTACAATCCGGGTCATGAATTTTTAGATGTCGGAAACTGGGTAAATTCCTCTGGGTCAGTCCGAAGGCGATGAATTTCGTTTTGTCTACATTAAGCGACAATAAGCTATGGTTCAACCAGTTTTTCAATTTCATAATAAAATTTTCTGCTTTTTTCAATACTTGCTCCCAGTTATCACCACTCACTATGACGGCAGTGTCATCTGCAAAGCAGGAAACACGGCCCCAAATGGTAAACATTGGAATATTCTCTACTTTTGAAATGCAATATATTTACCATGACTTTGATCCGTGTTTTCAATCACCCCAGTTTCCATTTAATCACATTGAATATTGACTATAATCGAGGGGCGGCTCGGTCCCGAAATCGCTGTATATTCTGATCCAAAATCCATTGAAATTCTTTCGAAATCCTTCGGAAATCCCGAAATCTATTCGAAATCGCGAAGACCGAAATCCTATCCGAAATACCAAGTGAAATTCTTTTGAAATCCCGAAACCCCATAACCAAAATCTTTCGAAATACCTTAAAAATGTCGAAATCCCCTGCGATTTCCGAAATCGATGTACAAATTGTGGTGGAGCCGCCCCTCGAGTATAATATAGTAAACTAATAAAATAGATACTTGATGCTGGCACCCTAGGCTGGCACTTTTAGTTAAATTAATTTGTGTTTTGAATAGTCCATCCCGTTTTTTAACAGCTATCAAATTCGATAAAAAAGAACGGAAGTACCCTCTCCTAATCTTAAAAAGTTAAGAGTACAGAAAAGTAAGTAGGTGATATATATGTGATTAAAAAAAATACAATAGTCAAAAAGACATCACATTTTGACTTATGACAGTACAGGGTGATCTATTATAAAATGTCACCCCCTCCTAACTTTTTTGTACATACCATGCTGAGTAGCAAACTTACCTAGTTGAAATAAAAAAAGTCAATGTATGACGGATTACTTCTTGTCAACATAACTCAGACTTATCAAGTTAGTTAAATGTATTGATATCATCTCATTTTTTCATCAAGATATTGTTGCACTGATATTGCATTGAGGTCACTGGCGACCAATGTAGGGAATCAGAGTGAAACATTGATCAGTTTTTATAGAGATCATTGGTTAGACATTATCTTCCAAAACATAATATATTGATGTAAAGAAAACCACTACGATTAAAAAATTGCCGCCATCTCAGTGTCGAAAGCTTGGTCAAAAGTTCCCAAGTTTTCGTCCCTTTGAAAATAAAATCAGGACGGCCATCTTCTCTACAGAAAATTTGGCGAATAAAGTTTTTCCAAGTATAAGAAAACTTAGAGTAAAACTTTTTAAAACTAAAAGAGAACTCCGCTTTTGCTCCCGTCCGCCTAAGTACAAACTTCTTCCATAAAGTATGTAAACTTACACTTTTGTAACAATTTCAGCTTTCTCGCTTGTGCTGATGAAACTTAAAATCTTTCTGAAATTTATTGCGACTTTACAGGGTCTTGCAAAAGACTTAGACTAAGGCGTTTTGTTTCAGAAACCTATTTTTTAACACCTAGTAAACTGTTACTGAAAAAAAAACAAATACGAAATAAATTAATTTGTTCAATTTTTCCCAGAATGGCATAATAAGGTATTAGTTACACCCAATATTTTACCCATTTTTGTTTCCAATGCATTTTGTGTTCAAATTATGATGCAAAGTTTGAAAAATAACAAATGTGATCCTAATGCACCAAACTTGCCCGTGGGATCATGAGCGCTGGCCTTTCCCTTAACTTAGTTTTGTTGAAAACACAACAACTGCAGTTAAACTAACTCCAAACTCTAAAGTCGACGACCATCATTATTGCTAGACCAGACGTTTAGATTTTGGAATAAAGTTAGTTCCAATGTGTAGGAAATTTGGGGACCAAATTTTAAACTTTTCAGTTGAAATAAGTTAAATGGTTAAGTAGGCTACAACAAAAACCAACGTTGGGTGCAACCAGATGTGATATCCAATAAAAAAATTTCCCAAATCAACAGCCGGAATATTGCAAGTCAGTCAAATGTTGCTAGGCTTTATTAAAATTTTGAAGAAAAGAGACAAGAAGATGAAGCCCGAAGACAGAAAGAAAAGTAAGAAGAACAAGCCCAAAGACCAGAAGAACTGGACCATGCAACTGGCATAATATAAAAAAAATCATGTCTCATTTTTCATCATTTGTAAAATCCATTTAACTTCGATTTTAACTTTGTAGGTGAATGATAAATTTCCAATTTTTAGCAAATTAAATAGGTAACACTTCAGTTCAACAGTAACCAGAAATTTGAAATTTTCCAGTTGCCATAGTAATTTCAACTAATCCATACAGATTTGTTTCCTCAATTGGTTATAATGGCGCTAAACTTGAACATTGATCTTGACTCTCAGCTAGCTGACAAATTTTTACTCAAGTTCAGTAGGTAAATGATGTAATAAAGCGTCAGCTGAAGCTGTTACTTTCCATTTTAGCATTAAATAGGTGCTAATTTCTTGTTGGTTGGTTAACATGGAAACTCTTGCGAAAACCTTATGCAATTCAGACTTTAATGATACATAAAATTGGGTAGGTACCTAATCGTTATCATAATTCAAGTTAAATATCCTGCCCTTAAGTATGTCTAAATGCAAAACTTTGTATTAATTTGAGACATAAAAAAGTCTTGTTTCACCCCCACAAACTCCTTGCCAGAGTTGTCAGGCGGAGCCCACTAAAGTTTCCCCGAACTTTTGGAAACTTCAAGCAGCAGAACTGAAACTTTTATAACAATAATTTTCCTTGGGGATAATTTCCCGAGTTGGAACATTTTAATTGGATTCTCTTCAAATTACCGCCAAATAAAACTTTAAAACTTTTTTTTTGATTCCCAAGTTTTATCCGATTCTCTCTTCACTGCCTACTTAGGTTGTTCTGGATCTTTTAATAGCGTTTAGATCACAAGCAGCTGCAGTTGAAAAATCAAGTTCGACAATAGCTTGGGTTGTTAGGGTTAACCTGAATAAATTTGAAGATAGTTAATAAATGAAGGTTTCTATTTGATGAAATTGCCTGAAACTTATTATAGATTGCACAAAAGGGCAACATTTGCAGTAAATCAGGAAACTCATTCATAAATTTTATCAGATAAGAGAATCAAT